GCCTTCCTTTTTCTGCTCGATTCTGATTTCCTGCCTGTTCTCTGACCTGTTGGACTTCAGCGTCTGGGACTCTCTGGGCAGCTTCCGCTGCGTCTTGTTGGCAGCCGACCGGCTGGATCCAACCTGGTCCTCTGAGGACGGACTGAACTTTAAGACCAGGTTAATGACTCACATATTATCATCCTCCGCTAGATAGACAAGGTCACTAACCTGTGTTCTTTCCCTGCAGAGGTTCCTACCTTAGACGGAATGCTGTTCTCTGTCTTAAATGAACATTTTTTTAAACCTATTGTTCTGAGCCTTACAGAATTAGCATTGAGCTCAGACCTCTTGGAACACAATTCAATGTTCAACTGCTTTTTGCACCATATTTATTCATTTGCACGGCACTGAACCTTTCCATACAAATTTTGCACCATGACTTTAAACTGGTTTTCCTTTTCTCCTACACTGTTTACATTCCGTTCACTGCTGCACTTTTAAAAATGGAAACGTTCAATTTACTGTTGTAAGCTGCTCATTCACTGTTGAAAAGCTGTATGCATCATAATTTTATTTTGTATGCACTCTGTGTAAAGAAGATGACAATAAAGTTTGTCTAAGCGTCTAATTATAAGTCTTAAAGACATCAGCAGATGAATTAGAATTTTTATTTCAGATGAAATGCAAAAACATGCACATTACCTAGTTCGCTCAAGCAGAGTATTTATTAAGCATCAGATGGAAAGAGGGAAGGATGGATGCTACTGTTTTTGGCTTGTTTCGGTCCGACTCAGTAACCCCCGCCTTCGGTCTAGTCCGTTCACCCGACACCGGCTCTAAAAGAGATTTGGATTAATCCGATAAAATAGAAAGAGGCGCATTTGCAGGGCTTACTTTTATAACTTTAAGTAGCTTTAAATGGGACCTCTTCCTTTAGCTATGGCAGTTAGCTGCTGGCCATGGCCCAGGTGGGGGCGCAGGATCAATAGCATCAGGAGCAGTATAGCATGGATCAGCCGCTTCCACTGGCTCCTCGGCAAACACCAACTGGGCCCAGCTGTTCCTTTGGCAGTTAGGTGTAGGTCAACCAAAGCTGAATAGACCTCTATCATCTGCTTCACCAGGCGGGTTCACAAAGCATTGTGCTCAACTCACTTTGAATCGCGGGAAAAGACGGTCACTACGATCACCTCCTTCTGAATGGTAGGAAAGGTAGTCTGACTCGGTCCAACAAGCACAAGCTTGGTTGCTACTTAGCACGGCTTTAAGCAGAGAACCAGTGTGTTTAGCCTTACGTGGCCGTGGGCCACGGGTAACAGGAAGTTGAAAAGGCACCGGCCTGTTTCATCAACTCTGTTGCAGGGTTGTGATGTCGGAAAGGAGTTGCTCCTGTTACATCACTAACTCTTGATCTTAACAGCAGCAAAACTGTGGACCCAGATTGAAGTAGCGATTGCAGGTATTTTATCCTGTTCTGATTTGAACACATTTTGTTGAATTCAAATATATTGTCATTAAACTTGAACTCAATACAAGTCTTATTGACAGGATGAAAAACCAGAATAAAGCTCCCATGTTGCCTCATTGTTTAGCGTTGCTGTTGGTGGTAGTGGCTGATTCCAGCTGTGAATGATAGATGGATAATGGATAATCCAGGTCCAGAAAGTGAAAACCCTTTATTCCTTCATCCGGTCCACCTAAACAGGTGATTAGTCTGTGCTGTGGAGTTCAAAATGCAAATGGTTGAAACTGATCTCTGAACAGACTTTTTACTTTCTTGACCTGGATTATCCACCTCTGGCTGTGATTAAAGCTTCTTGTTTGTAGTGTGTGATTATTTGATGTTATCTTCAACAAATGCACTTAGTTAAATTATAGCTTAAGAATCAGTTACTTTCATTCAGATTCATACCCAACTATACTGTATAGGGATGCAAACAAAGATCAGCAACATTGTTTATTGTTGTTATATTGCTAAAACCCTTCAGATAAGTTCTCTTCCACAGTGAGATTGTGGAAAGGTTTCTTCTTTATATTTTCCAAGCTCTCATAACACACTTTTCCACTCTTAGAAATGTCAGTAAACAATGCAGAACAGGGTCTGAGAGTCACACTTGCTGGTGGAGAAAATCATGAATTTTCACGCTTGCTTATAATCTTGATGCAGTTTGATTGTTTTTCTTGCTTTGTATTTGGTTTGCTATCAAGTTTGCTTCTTTTTTGAAAATCATTATGTTGCCTGTAGTTTTTCCTGTTTGTTAAATGAACTCCCCAACCACTCTGTCTGAACATGCCCGGTTCACACCTTGTTTCCCTGTATTACAAGTTTGAGATAAGAAATGACGGTTGCCTACTATATGCAATTTAAGAAATGATTTACATGTTTTAACTCAAACTAGTTTTGTTTCATAAAAACTGGATCAAACTGTAGAAGGTGAGGAAAGATGAGGCTAGAAAAGTTTCATGTTAAAATTTAGTTTTTGAAATAAGCAGTTAATTAAGCTTTGGTAACTTTGTAAACATTTTATAAAAGCAATAAGGAGGATCTTAAGGAGATGTGAAAGCATCCTGCTGCAGAAGCAGATCCACAAGCATCTACAAGCTGTTTTTCTTAAACCTTGTGAACTGTGTATGTGTAGGGAACTCTTCTTCTCTGACCTTTCTTCTGGACAGATGAGTCTGACCAGCACCATCTCTCTGAGTCTGATGCATGGTGTTCAGATGTATGGTGTGATCAATCAGATTACATTAGTGCATAAGGCTGCACAGTGTAAGGCATTTTATTATGACCTATTAACTTTTAAATCCTGTAGATTCATTATACAGTTTGAGCTGTAAATGAGTACAATGATGAAAATCGTCCAATATTTGCTGCCCTAAGCAGCACACATGAGCCGGCTCTGAAGACCTGGGGCTCTGCAACTTTAACACAGATTTATCAATAGATTATCTCAGTCTACATGGATAAAATATTCTGTCAAGTTTTACTTACTTTATCAGGTCAGAAATCATTATCTCCTCTGTTGTATACCTTGCCACAGAACTTATGAGAAAAAGGTAGGCAACTGTTACCACAAAATTAGAGTAGAAATCATGAGTGTTGGTTCTGAATAAACCCTAAACCTGTAAAGTTACAGCTTATGAAATATTGAGTACCAAATTATTGACCAGGTATTATTTTATGGACGTTGTTCAGTCAAGCATTAGGTAAGCTACTGAGGAGCTAATAATTACCCAGCTAATTTCTGACCATTGTCTAATCTTTTTTTTACCCTAAAGTAAAGTGAAACATCATATAAAATTGTTGCTAAGGAACTAATTATTACCCAGTCAGTACCCGACCATTAACTCATGCTTTGTGTACCCTTAAGGAAAGAGAAACTAGACATCAGTTCCTGCTTAGTTACTGTTTCCCAGGTAACTCATAATAAGGCTGCACTGGGTGTGCCCCAGTAACGCTTAACAACTCATAATTAGTTCTGTAGACTCTCTAGTAGTTAGTTGAATTTTGTGTTACACACATATCATACTTTGGGCACAAACATGACTAATGGTTGTACTTTGTAAAGATGATAAATCCCATTTTTTTCATTTTCCTTTCAGATCTTAAATTTGATGATAGAAGGGGTCAGTACGCAAAACCTGATTTGTTAAACAAAACTCAGAGTGGTTTCTGTTCTCCAGAAATGAAACCAAAATGCCGTTTGAAAGAAGTGAAACTCTTTATGTTACTAGTATATGTATCAGATCTTATCCACAGTCATATAAACCGTAAAACTATAATCTGTAATGATCTGGCCTGATTCCTCTAATTAATTGTTTTCTATCACCAACCATTTTCCCTCCCTGCTGTAATGATCATTTATTTCTTTCACCTGTATGCTTTGCTTTATATTCAGTTCAGCCTGAGCATTCAGCACCAGATCATTGTCTGTCTGTCTGTTGTTTTTTTTTTTGCTGTTTTGCTCCACGGTTCATGTCCTGGATCCTGGCGGTCAGTGGAAAGAGGGTTTTGCATCCGTCTCATCTCCTGACTGTTCAGTGTTCCTCTCCTGCTGAGTCCTCAGGGTTTTGGCTCGAAACGTTGGGAGGATTAGTTTTTATCCCTGTAAGCCTGGCTTCTAGGAGGAGACCAGTTTAAAGTTTCCGGCATCAAGTTCTGGTTCCACGTCCTGTCTCTGCAACCCTCTACCACTGAGCCTGTCCATCTGTACCTGATCCCATCTGCTCCTGTGCGTGTCCGCCTGGTCACGCTTCCGGATTCTGTCAGATTCTGAACCTGCCTGGGAGATATAGGCAGCCTGGAAGTCTGGATCCTGTCTCATCTGCCTGTTCCTGCCTGCTCTGTATCCCTGACCTGGATCGGCTTCCTGCATATCCTCCTGAGCTGCAGCAACGGGGACACTCTGGGTGACACGCGCCGCGTCAGTTTTCAGCCCATCGGCTGGATTGCACCCCTTTCCAGGGAGATGAACTCAACTGTTAAACCAGAGTGTCTGAGATTGGGCGGTGCCCCGCCCCCTCCTGCAGCAGCCATGTGGCATTTATGTTTTTATTTTAATAACGTTTTGAACTTTCCTACTGCCTGTCTCAGCTTGAATATTGTGTCCATCTGTCCCATTTTATGACATCATCTCTATAAATCATTTCGTCTTTCTGGTTTTTGTCGAATAAAACAAATATTTTGGCGAAACTGAATTGTCTCCTTATTTGATGCAGATATCAAACTTCTTTCTGATCAAACGGAAAACAGAGAAGATAAGTTTGGTTGTAATAAACAAAGAGAGACTAAAGCGCAATAAACAACTTGTTTCTTTAAAACCAACTCACCTCCTGCCTTTTCCTGCTCTATGTGCATTTCCTTGTTGCCTCCCCTTCAGAATGGGAGGTACAAGGGTTGGCCCTGACATGTATTTAAGAGTTGACAGACTCCCTGCTGCCGGCAGAAGTTGTGAAATCAGGCTGATTTCTTTTTTGAAGGCGTAAACCTTACAGGTCCTTTTTTTTATAGACCTGAAATGGCGCAAAAGAGAGTTCATATAAAAGAAGAATTTTACTGCCTGAGCTGTTTTGATCCACTGAAATACCCGGTGACTATTCCCTGTGGACACAACTTTTGTATAAACTGCATTAAAAGCCACTGGGGTGAAGAGGAGGAGAAAGGAATCCACAGCTGTCCTCAGTGCAGGAAAACCTTCAACCCAGGTGCCTCAGAGAAAACCACACCTCTAACAGATGTAGCGGAGCAGCTGAAGATCGAACTCCAAGCTGCTCCTGCTGATAACTGCTATGCTGGATCTGGAGATGTGGCCTGTGATTTCTGCACTGGGAGCAAAATGAAAGCAATCAGCTTCTGTTTTGTCTGTTCAGCCTTTTACTGTGAAGGACATGTTCATTCCCACAGTGATGATCCTCCTTTGAAGAGGAACAAGGTGCTAAAGCCATCCAAGAACCTCCAGAAGAACATCTGCTCTCAACATGATGAAGCAATAGATTTTTTCTGCCGTACTGATCAGAAGTTCATCTGTAGCCACTGCCTAATGAATGAACATAGAGGCCACCACACAGTGTCAGCTACAACAGAAAGGAGTCAGAGGCAGAGAGAGCTGGAGGAGATACAAGAAAAAATCCAGCAGGGAATCCAGGACAGAGAGGAAGATGTGAAACTGCTGAAACTAGAGGTGGACTCTATCAATCACTCTGCTGATAAAACAGTGGAGAACTGTGAGGTAATTTTCTCTAAACTGATCCGTCTCATCCAGGAAAAAAGCTCTTATGTGAAGCAGCAGATCAGATCCCAGCAGGAAACTGAAGTGAGTCGAGTCAAAGAGCTTCAGGAGAAGCTGGAGCAGGAGATCACNACTAAAATGAATTGACTCCTTATTTGATGTAGATATCAAACTTCTTTCTGATCAAATGGAAAACAGAGAAGATAAGTTTGGTTGTAAGAAAGAAAGAGAGACTAAAGCTCAATAAACCACTTTAAAATCTCCCAGCAAAAAAGATTTCAAAACATTAACTTTCAAACATTCAAGAATTCATGAACTATTTATTTGTGTTCATTAACTGGTAATGTGTGTTTATCACTAAATAAAAAGTGTGTTATAAGTTAAATCATAATTATTATGTAATTTTAATTAGAAATATACATGTATGTTTGGTTTTATATAATGAATCTAGTCATCTAAGGAGAGTACTTATATTTTTTAATTTATTACATCTTTTTTGCTTTTTTTATATCAAACATCAATTTGTAACATATTTAACTAGAAAAGTACTCAGAGCGCAGACCTCCGCCATCTAGCTCATTTCACCAACATATTGCTACTTCCACCTTAAGTGAATACTTGTATTCAGTCTTTCAAAACATTCCTGAATCCAGACAGGGATCTGGATCGTTACCAAAATTCCATCATTATTTGTTATAATAAAAAAAATTGTATTAATACCCACCTTCTCTTAACATTTCAGCAAAAGCCAATTCATTTTTTTTTTTTTTTTTTTACCTGAAAAAAACTTGGCCTGCTTTGGGAATGTAGTCACTGTTTCTAAAGGGATACATTCCTAAATGTTTTTTTTTTTTTTTTTTTTTTTTTGCTATTTAAAAAAAAAAAGACAAACCAACGTCAATGAAAACATAAGATCACTGGTGGAGGAAAAAAGGCAAGAAAAGAAAGTTAAAATGTCCAGTAAGTTTGGAATTATAACATATATAAACAATAAAAATGTTTCTGATGGCGTGTGCATTTTATTAAAACCAACTCACCTCCCACCTTTTCCTGCTCTATGTGCATTTCCTTGTTGCCTCCCCTTCAGAATGGGAGGTACAAGGGTTGGCACTGGCATGTATTTAAGAGTTGACGGACTAACTTCTGCCGGCAGAAGTTGTGAAAATCAGGCTGATTTCTTTTTTGAAGACGTAAACCTTACAGATTCTTTTTTATAGACCTGAAATGGCGCAAAAGAGAGTTCATATAAAAGAAGAATTTTACTGCCTGAGCTGTTTTGATCCACTGAAATACCCGGTGACTATTCCCTGTGGACACAGCTACTGTATGAACTGTATTAAAAGCCACTGGGATGAAGAGGAGGAGTCAGGAATTCACAGCTGCCCTCAGTGCAGGAAAACCTTCAACCCAGGTTTCTCAGAGAAAACCACACCTCTAACAGATGTAGTGGAGCAGCTGAAGATCGAACTCCAAGCTGCTCCTGCTGATAACTGCCATGCTGGATCTGGAGATGTGGCCTGTGATTTCTGCACTGGGAGCAAAATGAAAGCAATCAGCTTCTGTTTNCTACCCCTCACTGTCAGCACTCAGTGAGTCTACACACTCATCCAGCATCAATATCCGTCCTCTGAGACACTTTGAGGATGTGACAGCAGCTGTGTCAGAGCTCAGAGATAAACTACAGGACATTATGAGAGACACATGGAAAAACATCTCACTGACAATCACTGAGCAGAAGGCTTTACTGTCAGAACCAGAACCAGAACTGGAGCCAAACAGCAGAGATGGATTCTTAAAATATGCATGTGAAATCACATTCGATCCAAAGACAGCACATGGGGAACTGTCTCTATCAGAGGGGAACAGGAAGGTGACTTACAATCTGAATGTGTATGGTTATAGAATCCGAGACATTCCTAGCAGATTTAACAAATGTGAGCAGGTTCTGAGTAGAGAGGGTCTGACTGGACGTTGTTACTGGGAGGTGGAATGGACGGACAGATATGTTACTGTTGCTGTTGCATACAATAGCATTAGAAGAAAAGGTGAAGGGAATCAGTGCAGATTTGGGTACAATGACAGATCTTGGGCATTAGAGTGTTCCCAAAATAGATTTCCATCTAATTATTCATTTTCACACAACAATGTCACAACCTCTATCTCAGGGCCAGTATCCCCAACAATAGGAGTGTACCTGGATCACTCAGCAGGTATTCTGTCCTTCTACAGCGTCTCTGAAACCATGACTCTCCTCCACACAGTCCGGACCACATTCACTCAGCCGCTGCATGCTGGAGTTTTGCTGCACTTGTACCAAGACACTGCAGAATTTTGTCAACTTAAATAGACAGAATCAATTAAGCTCTGAAGTTTAGGTGTTCGATTTCAATTTCAGATCCTCTGTAAAATAAATTTCATTATTACTTAAACAAAGCATGTATACCTGTTGCATTTACAAAAATAAGTACAGTTAATAACTAGGTATTTTAGGTTGTGCTCACTAGCAACTAGCAACACAGTGACATACAGCCATGCACACACTTAGACCTAAGGAAACTTTAGAAAATCCAATTAAAATAACCGTCACATTCTTGGACTGTTGGGTGAAGCCAAAGGACCTGGAGGGAATCCCTACATACACTGAGGGAACATGAAAGCAGCATGCAGAAAGACCATGGGACATTCTTGCTGCAAGGCAACAGCTACACAAAATGCAACACCATGCAACCCACTGTTAGCCCTTCTGATTAAAGCTGGGCTGGCACAGCAGTTCTTGGTTGTATTTACCCAAACAGACCTTTTATAGATGCTGATGTGATTTATTAGTTTTCATTTTATTTATAATCTTAAAGATACAAATATTTGTATTCTTAAATTATCATAGCTGCAAGGACTGTGAAGTCATTAACATGGCATACCATTCCCCAAGTTGAAAAAGTAAAACCACTTCTTTCATCCTTATCTTTTTTGCACACATTTTAAGTACTATGACATTTGAGAAAAAATATATTTTCTGTTTGTGGACTTGACCTGATTTAATGTCACCAAACACCTAAAATAAATCTGTTTTGCTCTATTGGTGATGGTTGTAATGATTAAATCCTGATTTAATTAAAGCTTCTTGTTTTCAGATTTTTATTATTTATCTTGTGCTCCCTTTTTTTCACATTTTAATGTCCATTAGAGATTCTTTCATTCAAATATATAGTTAACTATACTGGTATGGTCAGATCAAATCTGTCTATTTAAAGCAGATCATCTCAGATGATTAACATCTTCTCATCTGGGTAAAACTTTTTGACTTCCCTTGTAAAACTGTTCAAAGTTCAGAATTTTTATTCTTTTTACCTCTGTTTGAAATTATCATTCTAAAATCCTTCTAAAATCCTTCAAAGTTTATTTAAAATAATTGTGTGGATTTTTCTACATATCAATCCTCTACTACAGACGGATACAGGACAATTTATTATTGTTCATCTTAACCTAAGAATTATTAAAACTTCAAATTTGACCAAAGAATCAGCATGACATAAGTCAGCAGCGCTGAACTGCCCTCCCAGCTTTGCCCAGACTCCCTAACATGTGGGTCATCAATGGACGGACTCTGTAGCAAGTCTGATATAAAAAAATTAATTTATATGACATCAAGAATTAAGTGTTTTGTTTGTCATTATGTCCCCATAATGATTGTATTTTTCTGAGACACTAGCTCAAAATGCACTAGTACACCAATATAAGTTGAATTCAGTAAAAGAGAAAAGAAGAATGGGTGTCTCTAGTGGTTCAAAATGTAAAACAAACGTTTCCTTTTCCATGTAACTTCCATCCCATACTGTCACACTGAAACACAGGAGGCTTTTAGTTGTGTTCCTGTGGAAGAGTAAAGAGTCTGGTCCATTTCAACTTCTTCACCATATGGGAGGGATTCAAAGTCTGTGATAGTACAGAGGAAATC